TAATTGCCTTAGCATTCTAGCCTGGTGAAGACAATCGTCTGTCGGTTAGTCTGTCTAAGAGGGCTTGGTCGGCTTAAGAGATTCCAAGCTACTATCGAATCTTTTGTAGTTTAATCAACAGTGGATCAACCAAAGGAAATTACAACTTGGACCTAACTAAGGAGCTAAGGGACTCATTCCCGAGTGACTCTTCTCTTGCTTAAGAAAATCGGACAATTTACTGCTTTCTTTTCGTTTTGGTTTGAATTCAACTTCACTCACTTACTCCCGCTAGATAATAGAAGTTCAAGGAGTAGGCAGTAGATCTAGACCCGGAGTTGATAAACTAAATCAATGTTCAAGAAGACGCTAGCCGCTATCTAGGTGAGGAGGCACCGCCCAGCGCCCAGGCTGATTAATCGTTGCCTAGACGAGATTAAACGTTGAAAAATATATATGATAGATAAGCCATATCCACAAAAACCCAAGTCGCCATATCATTATTCATCCATTCATATTCACATACAACCCTTTTCCACAATCCCAAACATCCCAAGTCGCCAACCATGAGGAGGGATCTCACTGTTGGTCGATGAGGGAGAGCGGTTGGTTGAATGGAAATGGGAAATAGAATAGGGTTTGGGATTTTCACAAAAAAAACTACACTTTCCCCCCTTTAGTAGTTATTATGGGCGTAACCCACCAGAGTGAAAACATGCCTCCGAGTGCCTAGGTGCCTAGATCAATCACCCAGAGCTAGACGAGACGATTTCCTCCTGCCCAGCTATTAATCGCGCCTAGGCGAGAGATTAATCGTGTCTTCTTGAACATTGAATTAAACTTGCTCACTGTTCTGCATTTCTCGACTGCGATTATACTTGATTGTAGTTTGGTGTTGTGTAGTAGTGTGTCATTTGGTCGTCCGAACTCCGATTCGAGGGTGAAGTCTTGGAAACCCTTAGTCAAGAGGTCAAGATAGCTACTTTGGTGGCTTGAATAGAATTCCCTTGACCTAGAGACCTAGAGAGTGGCATTTTTCCACTTGTTGCACTTCCCTACGATTTACAACCTCCTTATTACGCGTGTCCATTTGATCCGACTAGTCGTAATTGCTAGCTAGGGGGAGCAACATCCCGGTGAAGCCTTCTCAATTAGTGTCAAATCCATTTACTTTTCCAATCGTTTTAGCTATAGATCGTCGTTGTAACTAAAAACCCATCGCTGGATAATGTTACAAACAATCGAAGTAGGGGTACGTGGACCGGCCCGGGTTGACATTTAAACATACTTGTCCTATATTGCACCCAGTTAAGGTTTATACTTGGGCCTTAATTGGGAGTTTTATTGTGATATTCGGGACGAGTCACTGCTCGTCGCCTAACTCCTTCCTCGTCCTCACCTTCCTTGTTCCGACGCGTGCTCGGCTTCCTCCTTCTTTCTTGTCGAGTCAAGAGTTTTTTTGTTTCTGGGTGCAGTGGTGGTTTCTAGGTCGAGGAGAGCAAAAGAGAGGAAGAAGAACTGAGAAGAAGAAGAAGAAGAAGAAGAAGAAGAAGAGAGAAAGAAGAAAAGAAGAAGAGTGGATGAGACGGTTGGAGACTTGGAGTGGACAGTTTTAGTGTTAGTTTTTTTTCAATTTCAAATTCCTCTCACCTGACGATCCCACCCCTTTCCCTCGGCACTCGGCTCAGCTCAGCCGGCTTCCCTTTCCCCCTTTTCTCTCTTACGCCCAACTCGATCATTCCTAGCCAATCATTTTCGGGTTGAATGACGTGACCAAATAAGGCCCTGTTTACTTTCATTTCTGTTTCCTGTTTTTTAGAAAATAGATGTTGAAAATAGGTGAAAACGACATTTTTTCATTTTCGAAAACAGCAGAAAGTTGCCACTTTTTGTTTTCAGAGTTAGAAACGAATAGAAAACAGAATGAAAAATTTAACATGTTTTCTCGTTTCGTTAGCCAAATTTATGACATGTAAACAGAAAACAGGAAATGAAAATAGAAGTGAACAGGGCGACGTTGTGAGTTGGTGTAAAAAAAAAAATGCTATGTATACCATAGCAAAATCGCAATTAAGCCCACTGCAATCTTCTATTTTTTTACAATTTGGGCCACCGTGTTATGCTATTTTGCTCGTGTTACTTAGGGGTGTCAATTCGGGTTCGGTTTTTCGAGTTTACCCGAAACCGACCCAATTATACATATTTTCGGTTTTTCGGGTTCGGGTTTGTCTCGGGTTCGGGTTTTTCGTTTCGGGTTCGGTTTTGCTTATCGGTTTTTCGGGTTTCGGCTAAAAACCTCCAACGAATAGAACTCGCCCCGTATTTTTAGGCGTTCTGATTTTCGGGTTTCGGTTTTCCTTTAACCGAACCCGATAAGGAATTTTCGGGTTTCAGGTAACCGAAACCCGCAAGTCCTTATCGGGTTCGGGTTCGGTTTTAGTGATTTCGGTTTCGGTTTTTCGGGTTTTTTCGGGTTTCGGTTTGGGTAACCGAACCGACACCCCTAGTGTTACTACATCCATGTCCATTTCACTTTCAGGCAGGCCCATTTTCTTTAGTGTAGGCCAGATAATACAGCTTGGGCTTCCACATTACCACTAGGCCCAGTTAAAAACCTGAATTGGCTTCTTCAAGGTCGATTCCATATCCTAATCCATTCCTTATCCATAGGACGGAGACGGACAGTGGTCGGTCGGAGCTCTGAGCGAGAAAGAAGAAGAAGAAGAAAGAAAAAAAGGCGACAAGCAAACGCGACGATGCTCGTGACGGCGGCAGCGGCGGCGGGCGGTACTTGTCACAGCAGATGGAGCATGGCATCCTTAACCGCTGCTCTCCCTAGTCCTTCCCTGCATTCTTCGCGTCCTCCTATTGCCCGTATGCGATTTCAATCCTCCCGTACCTCCCACGCCGTCGCCGTCGCTCGCCATAGCTCCCCACTGCACTCTTTCGCCGGACTTGCGCCTCTTAACCCTCTCCTTTCCCTTGGATTCACTGGTACTTTTCACTTCCTATTTTCACTCCTTCCACATTTTGACTTATCAAGGATTCAATTTTTCCGATTCCCCGCTTCTAATTGCTTGTATTGTGTATCCGATTGATAATTCAGCAGCGTTTAACTACAAATTGAGTCAATGTTGTGGATGTTGGCTTGTTTGATTCTTGCAGAACATGCTAGCAACCATTTCTTCCCTTCCATTGATAATGGGTCACGATTCTTTGCAATGAGGCATGGGAGACGAATTGCGAGGCTCAATCGGCCTCCAGACCAACGGAAAGCATTGCTGAGAGGCCTCACTACTCAGTTGTTAAAGCACGGTAGGATCAAAACCACCAGAGCTCGGGCTAGCGCCATGAGGAAGTTTGTTGACAAGATGATTACGTTAGCCAAGGATGGGTCGCTCCACAAGAGGAGACAAGCTCTGGGTTTCATCTACGAGAAGCAGATTGTACATGCCTTGTTCGCAGAAGTTCCGGATAGATATGGGGAAAGAAATGGTGGATACACGAGAATCATCAGAACTCTGCCGAGGCGTGGGGACAATGCTCCCATGGCGTACATTGAACTTGTCTAGGTACTTTTCTCAGAATGAATCCCCGTCCTTGCTATCGAATCCAAATGGTGTGTGTGCACTTTGATGATTACTGTTGAATATTTACCCTTTGATGCTCATAAGTCATAAGGGTAGTGTGTTTGGTTGCCATCTGATTTTAGAACTGAGTGTTGAATTTGAGTCATAGATGTTCAAGGCCACAAAGTGGCTTGTTCTCTCTCGACTTATATTAAGCTACGAATTTGGATGCATAGTTAGGTGATGTAGTGAGTTATAGTGTCCAAAGTACTTTAGATGACTATGTTAGCGGGCACTTTGCCCATGTGTGTATGAAATGGCACTCCAAACTGTTTTGTATTTTTGCCAGTCGCTGTTGCTAGAGTTCATCAGGCACTCTGGTTGTTCTTGCTCTATATTCTTTGCTCTAAGGAATGTATTCACAATAATGCACCTGAATTTGTGATCCACAAGTTAGTTTTAGGTTCTGCTTTGTCACTAATCAAGTTGCTTCCTGGATGCATGGTCTTTCTTTTCTCCATGTTTGCCTTGGCTTGTCGATACTACTACGCATTAGTTGTCTTGATCTCTCAACACGTACATACTAACTAACCAGCAATGTCAACATATGCTTTAAAGTACTCCATTTTCAACAGCCATGACATTTTCTACTTTCCCACCAGTTAACTACCATCTACCGTTAGGTTTTTGGCACGTCCTTATCTGCCTTCCGGTTCGTTATCCTGATTATAGTCTTTTTGTCTAATTTTGTTGATAGGTTTGATCGAAGTTCAGGTTCTTCCCGCGCATCCTGCAGTTTGGACAGTTCAAACTTTCTTTACAGCTTCTCCAAAGTCATTCATATGGTTCTTTTTGAATCAGAACTATAGGGTCGACTTGAAGCTTTATCTGTGTAATTGCTGCTTGTCTTTCTGTGAGTAGTAAACTGATATTCTTTGTTTGAAAGTTTCTTCTCAGTTCTGTCACTCCTCTTCTCTTCTGTGGCGCTCTTGTGTTTGGTCCACTGCTGTTTGCCTCGACCGTAAACCATAAACCAATCTCGATGGGCCGGCCCATCAAATTTCCTGGACAAAAAGATTAACCCGATGACGGGCCCGGTAACACCATCCGTACTCCACGAGTCCACATCTCGTAGCCAAATAGTCACGGATACAGAAGCGACCCCTGATTCGCCCGATCTTTTCGACTTTTTCCCCCTTGTGAAATTTCGCTATCTCTCCAACCAAGAAGAAAAATAAATCACAAAAGTTAAAGCGGAAAAAGAAAACAGAACCACCGATTACAATCACGCGCTACACGGTCCGTGCATCTCACTCACCAATCAAAACCTTGCGGGTCCCGCCAGAGACAGTAACAGGTAAGGAGGCTGGTCAACCGTAGTCCCAACGTGGGCACGCAGGCGCGTGGTTCAAAGAAGGGTAAGTGTTGGTGGGAGGGTTGGTGCCGGGGGAGGCGTGGAGTGGTGGGGGAGGTTGGGAACTGTTGGCAATTGCGAACTTTTTTTTTCCTTCTTCTTTTTTTTTTTTTTTTGCTTTTGCTTTGCCCGAATCGCCTGTGAGCGGGACCTGCGTCTCTTATCGTGAACTAGCGGATAGAAGGAAGGGAACGATACCATCATCACCACCATCATCATATCATATGCCCTTTCCTGATAAAATCCATATGTATCATCACCATCATCAGCCATGCCGCCTCCGCCCTACCTCTTCTTCTTCTTCCGCTTGATCGCTCCCGACGCCGGCACTCCGACGCGGATCCCCAACCGGCCGACTCGCTTCTTTTAGCTTTTGTCTGGAAAAGGCGTTTTCCCTCCTCCCTTCCACCCCCGCCCCAGCGGCTTGACTCGGTGAGTCGCTGAATCCTGTCTCTTGTTTTCCTCGGTTTTATCTCCGGCGCCGTTGTTTTTCCGATTCTGCGTTTTCCAGATCTGCGTACTCTTCGATTTAATTTTCCTTCGGTTTGATTCAATACGGCGTTACGTATGGCCTTGGTGCTGAATTTATTCTACTCTGTTGCTTAGGGTTTGAGATAAGTAAAAGATGGACCCGATGGATATTGTTGGTAAATCGAAGGAAGACGCTTCGCTTCCTAAAGGTAAATTTTCGGGTTTGCAATGGATCGTCCAATTATCTGCTACGATCTATTTCCTTTTTTTAATCAATTGTGTGCTACTTCAGCTGTTATAGGAATTTTCTTGTAGTGTGTTGTTTTGATTTGAGATGCTCGTTGGTGGACATATCTGAAGGATAATACAATTAGTGGGATCCTTGTGTTATTGGTTCCTTGGTTTGGGACTGGGAAGGGAATAGATGAAAAGATCCGAGGATTAACTTCCTTGGGTAGCGCATCAATATTGTTGAACTTTTCTGGTGCAGGGCAATAGAGTGAGAGGCAATTTGATTGTAGGGTTTGCTTCCTGAGGTCAGCTGTTTATGAAACTCTTAACCCTTTCATTTGTTCTTGGTATCTGGCCCACTCAGTCATGGAGTAATGTTACATTGTCACTATAGGTTAAGTATGGTCTTTAATCTCGGAGAGTTCGGAATGGATACCTTAAACACCTTGACCTTCATGCCTTCGCTACTCTTTTATCAGGATTGATGGTGCCTTGTATGATATAATTCAGCTGTTAATCCCTTGATAGGGTTTCTTTGTCTATGATTTGGCAATTTCTACCTGAGGTGCTTGTCTGTGCTGATTCTGGTTGTGTATGTTGGATTAAAATATATGATCTACTGACATAGATTGTGTGTTTTATCCTCTCAGCAACTATGACCAAAATTATTAAAGAGATGTTACCACCAGACGTGCGTGTTGCACGGGATGCCCAAGATCTTCTGATTGAATGTTGTGTAGGTGAGTTTTTATGCATTCGTCGAGCATTGCGTTGCGCCTTGTCATCTCTACCGTAGTTTCTGTGTTATGACTTTCTTGTTTGGAGATCTGTTGGCTTCTGGTCTTCCTTGAAGGATTTGACCCATTTTATCATGCTCTAGCCCAGATCAGTCTGTTCACTTCGCACACTGTAATTAGTTGCCTAGGTGTTTCCACAGGTTCATAAAGTTTGTTGCTGGAAGTCTTCAGTGTTTCAGTTATTCTAAGCATTACTTCATCTATAGTTTTTGCTCTCTGTATGATTTTCATGCTCAATTGGGTTCAACTCTTTTTTGCAGAGTTCATTAATCTCATATCCTCAGAGTCTAATGAAGTATGTAGCAGAGAAGATAAACGAACCATTGCACCTGAACATGTTCTCAAGGCTCTAGAGGTTCTTACCTTATTCCACTTTTTTCAATTAATTGTATTGTTTGTTTGGGTCGTGGGTTTATGCTCAATTGTTCTGATAATTGATAAAGAAGTATGATGCCACGTGAACTGAACCTTGGCTAGGCTTTGTGAAAAATGGCTGCCATAGGACAACTGATACTGTCTAATAGATGATTGAATTGTGTGAATATTGAGATCATAGTGTTGGTCGTTGGGTTAGTGACCTAACGTCCAATCTCTCTGCCCTTATAAGGTTCTTGGTTTTGGAGAATACATCGAGGAGGTTTATGCTGCTTATGAGCAACACAAGCTTGAAACGATGGTAATTTCTATGGCCGAGTCTGATCTCTTCTGTTTCGTCCCCTTTTTTTTTTATGATGTTTGGCTCGTCAAAGAAGGCTGAGTTCTTATGCTTGATTTCAGCAGGACACTCTAAAAGGCGGTGGTAAGTGGAACGGAACAGAGATGTCGGAGGAAGAAGCAGCAGCAGAGCAACAGAGAATGTTTGCAGAGGCAAGAGCAAGAATGAACGGAGGTGGGGTCGCTGCCCCGAAGCAACAAACTGAGAACGATAGAAGTTTAGAGAGCTAATTTGTAGTAGTTGTAGTAATAGTGGTATTTCAGCCATTTTCATTTGTTATCTTTTCTTTTACTTGAAAAGATTTCGTCTGGGAAAACAACATAGGCAGGCAGGCAGCATCTCACACAAAAATCTTCTACCGTGCAGTCCTTGTAGTAGTGGTTTCTTTTTTTCATTTTCTCTTTATTATTAATATAGTAGGTTTGTACAAAGAATGCAGGTGGCAAATGCAGTTTACTACCACTGTGGATATGCGGTTAGATTTGTGTACTTTAGCCACCTATGGATCTTCATCCTGATGTATAACTCCGAAAACAAAATATAATTAGTCCAAGTGAACCCGCTTGTTTTTATAGGTTTAAAACTTTCAATTTTTATATTATTATATTGAAGGATTTTGTTAAGATTAGTCAATTGGTTTGGTCTGTTGAATCAATAATAAGTTTCCGAACTACTTACTGGGCTTTTCGAAGGAGAAGGGGCCAGATCCAGAAATTGGCCAACCAGATGAACGGACGACATTGACCTCATATCTCTTTGCCCAGCACATGTTCGACGGATTTCCTCAGAGAACCCCGGAAGTACTAGATGAAATTTACCAACAGAACTACTTTCCTTTCCGCGGCTGCTGGTAATTCCTTGATGGTTTAAGGTTCTCTTACCAATTTTAGCTTGCTTGGGCATCCCATCTCTCTCGGACTTCATTCCGGAGATCGACATGGCGCTTGTCGTTCCTAGACCACCCACACTCCATCTCAGAACTTGTAGCATTTTCGGGAACCATTTCAAACCTTCCCTCGTCGTCGCCGTCCCCATCCAGATGCAGAGTAAGTACTCTGAACTCTCATAGACAGTAAGTCCCCTCCCATTAATTTCCAGCAGGCGTCCTTAGTTGTGTTTCCGCCACCTGTTTGTGAAAAGTCCTCAATGAACCTCTGTTTTTCCTTCGTTTGCCGCTTAGACTTTCGGGCCATGAACCTGGTTGCCAGATCAAGAGCGAATCCAGCAAGAACAGAAAGTGCTAAAACCATGAACAGGAGGAGGCTAAAGAAGGTAACTTTTCAACCGTGTTTTTTTCTGTTTCCTATTCAATTGGGAGATATCGGTTAAAGCTTTTGCGATATCAACAACAGTTCAACGGGACGCCCATGAAGCCACGGCTGTCAGTGTTCTGTTCAACCAAGCAACTTTATGCAATGCTGGTGGATGATCAAAACAAGAAAATTTTGTTTTACGGAAGCACCATCCAGAAATCCATTCGAGGCGATCCACCTTGTTCCACGATCGTGAGACCACGCTACCAGAGCCTTATGATTTTTTTGTGCTTTCCACTTTCTGATTGTTGTTGCGTATTTATTATTGACAGGAAGCTGCTGAAAGACTGGGTGAGGAACTCATCAAGGCATGTGTTAGTCATAGCATCAATGAAGTTACTTATGATCGGAATGGGAACCCTCCGCGTGGGGAGAAGATGAAAGCATTCGAGATCGCGATTTCACAACATGGGTTCTTGCCTGATCGATCGACCAGGACAAGGATTCCTGCAGCTGCAACACCACCTTAGCAGATACAAAAAAATGTGCATAGATGTTCAGTGACGGCCGTAACTGGTTGACTAAGAGCTTTAGTCTTCCATGATCTTTGTAGTACTTGGTCTTGTTGCATTTAATCAAAACCATAGCAGGTTTTATGCCTGATCGTGGAATGCAAAACGCACAATTCGAAACTAGGAAACGGGTTAGAACATCCTAGCCTTGTTGGTCATTAGGATCGTAGCTGGCTTCGTTGGTGGCACATGTGCAGCATTGTGTAACCAAATTCTTTTTCTTTTAATGCCTACGTAACTGCATGATTTGGTGCAATGACATCAGATTTGATCATTCCATCATTCTCCCCTTATAACGCTACAGATTCTGATAAACCCAATAACCCAATTAGAGTTCAGCTTAGTGACATGGATGGCCACAAAGATGAAAGATCCCAATATATTGTGAACATCTGAAAGAAGTGCCAAAACATCGAGAGGGAGCAAAGTAGGCCCCGCTACCAGGAAGGTAACGTGTAAAGGGTAATTGTAATGGTGCTGAAGGTGGTGGTGGAGACTAGTCGAATCGAGAGACAGAGAGAGAGAGACCAGGTTGGCTCAAATGTAATGGTGACCTTTCATAAGAAAAACAACATCTTCTGCCTGTTGGATGGGATTTGATTTACTGAACCCAAACGCTGCTCCCTCCCCTGATTCATGTTACGAACACAGACAACACTGTTGCAGAACGAAGGCTACAGTTTGCTTTGCTTCGGTTCCAGAGCATGTATTATTAGCAATGGAGGAGTGACAGCATGGCGTCAGCATGTCTGCCTGATTTGCTTTTCTTTCTGCTTTTGTGCTTTCTTCTAGTTTTGTTTTGTCATGTTTGTTCTCTTTCGGATCTTTTCGCGAGGGGAGCTTAAGTTCAAGTTCAAGTTTGAGTGTTAGTAGAGTTTGAGTTGTTTGAAATTGAAGCACAAAACTAGCACGTTGGTGTGATGGCTCATCTAGCAATATCAGAGTTGTATCACCATCGTGAAGTTTCAGCTAAAATGCTATTGTTCGATATTCAAAACTCCGCATGAATGACGAAATAAAACTATCATATCGATAATGTAGATGCTTAGTGAACGATCCTATCAATCTTATAGAGGAGTCTCAACTACAACTCGTTGAATGAACGAAACAACAAAAAAACTATTCAAATCAATTGTACGACCTACTCGTACCATATCGATCTGCCTACCGGGCTATTTGTCACTGGGCTCCCTTCTGGTTCAAGCCAAAATAAGAGAACAAAGTAAACTGAGAGAACAAAAGAGGGACAAAAGAAAAGAGAGAGAGACAGTCAAGTAACAGAATCACTACTCTCCTTCTCTTCAGTGCCCCACAAAGAAAGTGAAATTACACTCCCATTGTCCCCTCCCTCTCTACTTTGATTCCTTTCCTTTCCCCCATTCCAATACCAACAGACTTATAATAACACCACTCTACCACTACTACTATACAACTCTCTTCCAGTCTTCTTCCTTCCCACCTCAGCTTCTCTTTCCCCTTTATTTCTTTTGTCAGGATTCCCTTCCGTCACTACATAACAAAAGAATTCCATAAACAAAAACCCACTCTGCTTTTCCCCTGCATCTTCATCTACTACTACTACAAGTAGAAGCAGAAGAAGCAGCCGCCTTATCTCTTGTTTCTACTCATTTCCCGTTATACTCTGCCTCTCTACAAACCAATACATGTCGACTAGAGCCACGCCGGAGCTTTCCTCCAGCTCCAAACGCCACTTCCACTGGACCAACAAGGTTGGAACCGAAGAAGACGACGAAATCCCCCCACCAACCGCCGCCAAATCCTCTGCAATTCCAACCCTCAAGCATTCCGCTTCCTGGGTCATTAGAGACGAGAGCAGCAGCACCAAATCCAGAAGCGGAATCCCGACTCCGCGAAAGAAGCTTCCCGCCGTTGCCGTAGCCAGGCTCCGATCCGTACTCTCCACGTTCGGCAGGAACCGGTTCGGGTTGTCGCCGTCCAGTCTTTCGTCGGGTCTGGGTCACCGGGTCGTGGGTACCCTGTTCGGGTCGCGAAACGGGCACGTCAATTTCGCCTTCCAGAAAGAACCCACTTCCCCACCTGCCTTCCTGATCGAACTGGCGACGCCAATTAGCGGGCTGGTGAAGGAAATGGCATCTGGGTTAGTCAGAATTGCCCTGGAGTGCGACAAGAAGCAAGAAGGTAACCATAGGCAGAGGAAAAAAGCTTCCCCTGTTTCGGGTCCTAGCAATTGTGGCCCGGTTCGGCTGCTGGAGGAGCAAAACTGGAGGGCATTCTGCAACGGGAAGAAATGCGGGTTTGCAGGGAGGAAAGAGTACTGTGGGGTGAAAGAGTGGAAGCTGCTGAAAGCTCTGGAGCCGGTCTCGATGGGGGCCGGGGTTATGCCGAGCTACGGGGAAGGTGAGAGGACGGAGATCATGTACATGAGAGCTAAGTTCGAGAGGATTGTTGGGTCCAGAGATTCCGAGGCTTTCTACATGATGAATCCCGACAGCAATGGCGCCCCTGAGCTCAGCGTCTATCTGCTTAGAGTCTAGTAAATTAGGGGGTCTTTTGGAAGTGTGGGGAAAGAGGAGGAGGATACTTGGGGGATACTGTTCATCTCTTAGACTTTGTGACTGTTTAGGGATTCTTCCTGTTTTTCATGGGTTAGATTTAGGAGGTGGTGGCGGTGGGGAAGAAGGAGAAGGGTGTAAATGTATAGTGGGTATTTGTTTGGAATACTTGTTAGTAAGTGGGGGGAGGGGGGGGGGGGGGGAAGACAATGGAGGGCCAAATGAAATCATGAATGTCTTTGATTTTGATTCCATCTCTAGCTTCTTTTGTTGATTTGTTCAAAGGTTTGATTAGATTAGATCCCTTTTCGTTTTGTTCACCGCAAACAAATTTAGTGGGGAACTAGAAATGTGGGTATTTAAGTTTTAACTTTGAAGCACTATCAAATGAATCGTGCACATGGAAAGTCTCATCGTCGCTAAAAATTATGATCGCTATTTTTAGACGAGTTTCTTTCATCAAGATGGAGTTTTCATGTGTAACAGTTTAGCGTTGATATAAAAGAATATCATATCTTCCGGTCAGTTGTAATTAGTCAGTCAATTCAAGAACCTTTCTTCGGTCAGAAACTTCCAAACAATTCGATTATTGTTCTTGTCCCCTTGTCAAAATTCTTGTAACATTATCGTAATCGCCACGATTACGGAGTATATTGAACACTAATTTGCAGTGCTGTCAAAGCCGAACCGAGCCGGCCGGCCAGACCGCCAAAGCCGTCACCCGGCTGTAAAACCGGCTCGGATCAGCTATTTAACCGCCACGGTTTTATACAGCGGCCGGCGAGCGGCCGAAGCGGTTAACCGCTCGAGCCGCTCAAGCCGATCGCACGGTTCGGCCGTTTGGTTTACCCTAAAAAAACAAAGGCCAATCGTGGAATGGGGCAGCCAAACAAAACCCTAACTTTCATTTTATTTCTTCATCTTCAACCTAGAAGTAGAACAGAGACAGAGGGAGAGCGGCGCCACCCTGCCGCCGTCAACCATCGCCCCAGCGCTTCCGTCCCGTCGCCGGAAGCAGCGCGCCATCCGACAGCGGGGTAATTCATCTCCCTTCTTCTTCTTCACTCTTTCCGTTGGTTCTGGGGATTTCTATGTTAGCATTTCTCCAGTGTGGGTATTATTGGGCTGTCGGTGGCGATTGGTTTACTGAGTATTTGATTAGTGGTGGATCTAGTAGTCGTTTGTCTGATCTTGACGTGATTAGCGTAGATTTTGAGATTTGCTGATAGGGGCAGCTAGTTTGCTTACGAAATGGACTACCTGTTCTCAAACGGTTTTTAAACGGTCTAATGCCGGCTGGACCACTAATGACCGAGCCGTTCACGTTACCGGGTCATACTCCGGCTCGGCTTTGACAGCATTGCTAATTTGTATTAAAAAGAAAAGGTATTATCAAAGGAAAGGAGGAAAAAGGGAACACCCCAAATAGAGTAAAAATGCAAATGGTGGGAATCTTTCTGCTTTTTTATCACTTTTTTTTTTCCTTCTTCCCTGCCAACAAACCCAAACCTCTCTTTACCTTGCGGTGTGGGGTGGGGGTTTCATACTAAAATGGAGATGCGATAATGCTCATACCATAGCATATAAACTTTTTTTAGGGCACCAAGCCATTAGGATCCAGGTGTTTATACAGACTAATGTCTCTTAGGTTTAGGTGAGGATGAAAGCTAGAGGTATATTCTAATTTAGAAGTTTTACGTTAGAAGTTTTCATCTATACAATGTATTCATATGGATCTTATCTTTTTGTTAAATTAGGCTCATTAACAGATTAAAGAAAATACTTTTATGTAGGATAATCGAACTTTGAAATCTATTCAACGATACCAAACATTATATCTCTTATATTTTAGACAAAGGAAGACAAACTTTACCACAAATAATCCGATTCAATTCACATATAAGACGACTGAATTGAGAGAATGTAGCATACTATAATAAGGCATGTTCATTGTAGTAACCTAGTTGATCTAATAAGTTGAGAAGCAAAGTATTTTCTACATAACAGACAAAAGATAGAGATTCATCATTAATACTCAGCACATGCAAACTTCAAAGAGAAACAAGCATATGTATAAACTTTCGTAGAAGAACCTAGCTACCAAGCCTAGCATTAGAGTCGTATTAAGATTATCGTTTGATTTTTCAGTATTTTCTTATAAATATGTACTTAACATCCACTTAGAATCAATCAAGTTAATACGAAAAGTACTTCGAGTCTTTCCCTTTCTTCCTCGTTTCTCTCTGCTTGGCCAAACCAAATTTTCTCTCTCATTCTTCTTCTCAAAGCTTCTCTCTCTGAATTCTTAATTATGTTCTTCCCGGTCCCCGTTCTCAATCCCTAATTCTACATATCAATCCCTAGATCCCTAGCCTTCTATCAATCCTCAATCTCATAACCCAACCCGAAGATCTTAGATCTCGATTTCCTGGCAAAGCACTAGAGAGAGAGTCCTATGAGAAGATTACACATGCACTACTAGTAAACACAAAGAAGAGAGCACCATCCACACAGAATGATGAGGATGGTAACCCTAATAGCTAAGCCCAATATGTCGAGGAACAGAGTATCTTTGTCTGTTGTCACCAGCATCTTAGCCATATAGATTACCCATGCACGTAAAAACAGATGCTTCTCTCTAAACTTGCATATCTTTAGTATATCAATGGTGAATCTATCTTTTGTCTCCAACCACTATTTCATGTTTAGAATTATCTTTCTTCTTACAGAGAGTTCTCCCTCATTCATTTGTTGTTGGAGTTGGGCCCTTTTGCCATGTTATTGCCCACTTTCCTGTGTTTGGTGTAGGACAGCATTGGCAACTGTGTTCAAATATTTACCACATCCACTCCATTATATTCCTCACAAAAAGAGGGATTTGATTTGGGGTCCAAAAGTGCAAATATGTTCCCAATCATTTGCTTTTTGGCATTGTGCCTGAATTCTGTGCTATGCTCTCTTCTTGTAAATTGATCCCAATGCGCGGATCACTTTACTTTATTGCTCTCACCTTCTTATCATATACACCTCATCATCAAACCTAAAATAAATCGAATAAACAAAGCTTCAAGAAAGCGTTAGGTACAAGATAAATCTAATCTAGTGCCTCATTTGTGTAGACATCTTCTAAGCATTGTTTAGGTGTTAAAGAAAAATAGCATTTTGTGTTAAATGGTGAATGAAATAGAAGTTTTACAACACTTTCGCTTTAGTTAAAATGATTAATAACCTACTTAACATTTAACAAGAAAAATAACTCACAAGTCCGTCGTATTATAGCTTAATAGCTCTCAAATTTCAGAAGCTATTGAAAAGATCGAGAGATAAGATTGAGTTTGCATGATGTTGATTTCTCACTTCAGATATTAACTACCCATCTCTGCCTAATCATGTCTCGGGATATCTAAGTGTTTCATTATAATTTGTCGCTAGATTTTGTATATTTAACTCACCATGAAGCCCATTTGATAAGACGTTTTGGCATTGCATATCGCCTGCCTAATTTTATTGAATGCAAAGATCAAGACGAGAATTATGAGTAAGAGAACGAATTACCAAGCAGATATTATCCTGCTTAACAAGTAACAACAAAAATAAGTATATTAAAATCTAAAAAAAATTATGTAAATTTGAGATAAAAGTAACGATTCGATTTGTCAAAATATGAATCGTTTGCCTTCGTAGATTTATGGTGGTATTTATCAAATATGGGTAGTCTAAGAAAAAAAAAATAGAGAGATTAAAAGCAACCCAACAAAACTCCAATCCGAGACTGCGGTTGGCTACTCCTTTTGTCACTTGTTGACTGCTTTTTCCTTTTCCTTCTTTTCCCTGTCTTCCTCTTCATTCTTTTGTCTTTCATACTTTCTTTCTTTCCAAGAAAATTCTTTGAGCTGCTGTTATTACAACAGTAATCTGCTCTGCATCGAGTCCCCAGTGATTTACTTGATATGATTATTTATTTTATACTTTTCATTTTTTATTATTTGGAAGAAATTATACCAGAAAAAAAAAACAAAACAAAAAAATATTATTTGGAAGAAATTATACCAGAAAAAAAAACAAAACAAAAAATATATTATTAACATTTCGTTTATAGGACTGATCATGATTACCTTAGCTAGATAAATTATAAACAAGATTCTCCTATGTGATTTGATAATGGAGTAATCATTGAATTATAGAGCCATGATTGACAAATGACACTAGCTAGCAATTTTTAATATTTAGAATAAACAAAAGCAATAATAGTTATTAATTAAGGATTGCATTTTAAAAAATACATACATGATATATTACATTTACAGGGGGGAAAAGATAAGGAATCCAACCATCAAATCGCCACTACCCTCACCTTAACCTTATCAAGCTGTAAGATGTTGAAGAGGGAGTGAAACTTCCTTTTTCCAATTTTCAAGGCTTTTGTGGCATTCGTAATCATCACAATTCACAAGACTAATCATTTCCAATTTTGCTACAAATTTTACATATAAATTTACCTATATTTGAAAGTTGACAACGTGGTTCTGTCATTGATTGCAAGTGTCGATAGTCGTTATTCATCGCATAATAATACCCCACATTCCTAATCTCACTTATTCCTGAAATTTCATGTTCATTGTGAATGTCATTATCTGTTATTCATCACACATGTTGGTCAACTTGTTGGTTATATAACTTTGTTTATGTTAAGGGATATATACGAGGTTCAAACGCAATAATCTCTATTTGTTGAGGGAAACGACATTGTATACTAATACTAGAAACAATTAGTTAGTCAAGTTGATATAAGACTAGCGAGCAAAAAATATAGAAGTATGTTAGGTCAATACAAAATTAAATTCGATCAATCGATAATTTCTTACCCTCTCTTGTCCTCTCTTGGCATGTCATTTACATGAAACCTTAACACAATTTATAAGACTTAATTATCATCATTACTCAAATCCTTAGCTCTTTGTATGTTTGTATAGAGTTTAGGGCGGTACCTAGATCCGCCAACAGTGCTGCCCATAGAGTGGCGCGTAAAGCACTGCTTTTGTCTCTTGTAGAGCTAGAATCTTTTGATTTCTTGGGAGTGGCTTCAGTAGAGCATTTTAGGGGTTCATGGGTAGAATTGTAAGCTTAACTATTATTTCTCATTGATATCACTCAGAAATAAAAAAAAAAATCATTACTCAAATCAATTTATTTTAGTAATTCGAATGATCCAATGACATTCAAACTTAAAATTTGAAGTATAGAAAGCACAAAGATCGATGTGGGTTGTAGTTGGGTTTTTCTCTGCATCATCGATGCATCATCTCCTGAAAAGTATTGAAGAAAAGTGAAGGCTTCCTCTTATTATCATAGAATAGCAGCACCAATTTTAAAAGGCAAAAGTAGCAGTAGTACTGGTGTTGGGTAGAGTTCACAGAGCAGCCCACAGTTCCACTTTCACAGCAAGAACTTCATTCCTTTCCTTTGAAAACTGTTTAACATGACCACAATTGCTCCACTCGGTGCGAAATATATTAAGTGGCCGTTAACAAATTATTGGGCTTAATGATGATGGTTGTGCCTTGTGACTCAACTCATTGCCATAGACCAAAAATTTTGTAGGCAAATTATAGCCAGTTGATTTTACTAATTGCAGGCCAAGTTGGTTCATTAATGATTGGTATCGCATTTTCTGAGGAAATTGTGATGGAGCATTTAGATTATTAGAATATATCGAGTAGAATAGATCTTAGAGAATGCTGTAGAAGTTTAGTGTTCATTGAATCCTCATGAATGTCTCTTTAATCGAATGGTATAGCAGAGATTTCCGACAGAAATTCTCAAGGAACTGCAGTGTGGATGCCGATGATTGTTTGAGAAGATTAGAGAGTTGGGTTTTCGCTAAAACTTTGATATGACGAGCTTTCTCGACTTGAACAAAGAAAAGCGGTCTTGATGTGGGTTTTGGGATTACAATGACCCACATGACTTCTCTTGAGTGCTCTATTATGCAACTTATATCCATAATATGTTGGTGGATCGGTTGGAGCGAGTTTTCAATGAGTCAAGTATTAGAGTTTGGAGATATAAATTAAATTTGGACCATAACATTAAAAGTACAATTTCAGTTTGTAGTTTATACTATAAAATGCACAGATTTAGTTCGTAACATAAACGAAAAGGCAGTTTGTACCATAATATTAAATATGCAAGTTCAATTTGTACCATAAAGTATTATAAAATTCCCCTTTTTGTTTATTAATTTCATTTCGACTTGAAAAGTTCAGAATCGAGATTATTACTTTCAGTAATAAAATAGAGAGACAACAATTGCATCATCAAGGGGATGTAGCTCAGATGGTAGAGCGCTCGCTTAGCATGCGAGAGGTACGGGGATCGATACCCCGCATCTCCAATTTTAATTTTCCCCCATTTTTGCGTTTGGGGAGTGTGTACAATGAAACCAAAGGAGGCAACAGATCATAAAACCAAACACGAAGTTTCCCGTGACCTTAATTATAACTCCAAGCAGCATACCTGTCTGACCAGCAAACCAAAACATGGACTCATTTATGGACCACAAACAACCTGCAGCAGCAGCAGCAGTGGCCATGCTCCATATGGAATCATATCATATTAATGGGCATGCGGCAGCTAGCAGGTTTCGATGCATGGAAGGCGCGATCGAACTTGGGATACCCATTGTGATTGATGCGAAAGGCTCTGCCCTCAATCGAGAGGTTCTTCAGCCATTCACTTAAACCAGTTGCCACCTTCGTTGGTTTATGAGACCATCAACAATCATGAAATAGCCTTTCTATTTCATATGTAGCATCTATTATCACTTATACATCTTTTACAATTTCGTTCTTTAAAATCCATTTCATCTACACCCGTGAAATTTATCTCCAATTTTATATGGTGGACCCGATTCACATTTTCAATACAACTAAATAATTTCAAATTGTTGAAATGGGCCCACTTGCTACCCCACTTCTAATTTCATTTGCTCTTCGATCTAATGAAATATTTCATTATTGAAATAATTGGCTACAAGCCTACAACCATGAAATGTCAAATGACATATTGACATTGCCATGTCATTTTGAAATAAAAAAAGAGACGACCGATGCAACTGCTCTGAATTCTGATGTAGAAGAGTGCAGCGTACTTGCTCGTTTGAAAGGAGAAAAACAAATTACAAGGCAATCTTAAGGGAGTTTCTGAGACTATGTTATTAGTAAATTGTATAAGATTTATAATTGAATATTTTTCAAAGTTTGAGTTATTGGGACCAATTAGCTTATGACAGGATATCAGAGTCTTTGATGACTGAGAGGACTAATGTTTGAATCTTGACGATCCTCATTTGTTGAGCCCATGGTATTTGGACCTGTGCAAACATCAAACTTGTATGAGTTGGCTTTTGTTGAGGGACATGTTAGTAAATGTTATAAGATATATAATTGAACCTCTACTAACAACTTGAGTTATTGAGATCAACTGGTTTTTGTCATTAGTGATGGCAATGGGGTGGGGCAAGTAACTCAACACCCATGTCCCATCCCAGACTACTGAGGGGCGGGGCGAGTAGTACCCGCACGGGTACGGGGCGGGGTGGATTGAGCCACTCTTACATATTATTTTTACAAAAATACACGCAAAATTTTCCTTTTTGCAATAAAACGAAGGGGAAAAACTTTATAAATGAAAAATAGTGATAATAGAATGAGTAATTGAGTCTAACTAGTTGAAAGATCAAGTCTATTTAGTTGAACCGAAGTCAAAATAGGAGAAATATGAATAGATATTGTAAGAAATTGAGATAGAATGAGCAAAAAAGGGGCGGAGCAGATCCAAAGTAGATATCCATGCCCCATTCCATGCTACTGCGAGTCGGATAATGCCCGCCCCATCACGATTCAGACTGAGTAATATCTAAATTATTCAATATCCAATTGAATTACTAGTGAAAATAAGATATTCAAGTGTAAGTCAAGCAAACTCCAACTCTCGACCACCGAGTCATTCTACTGCTATGATATTATTAGACTACAAACTTGTTTATGTTGGTGGATTAGTTTGGGAATTGTAAAGGTTGAATTTCAAACCTCATGTACATGGCACATGTAAACAAGATTTAATTACTAAAAACGTACTAAATTTGAACATGCATTATTAATCGACTACCATGTTTGGGTACTACACTTGTACGATATTATGATATGATTTTCTTATTTTTTTTTCCCCGGTAATTTATGATTTTCTTATTGTATGACTATGGTAAAAAGAAAATGAGAGGTCCGGCGAAGTCCAAAACAAGTTAGATTCGGATGAGCCTAAGAGATTGGTCTAATTAGGCAGAGGCTTTTCAGCCCACGAGGCCCGCAATCAAAAGCCTGTTTCATTAAGCCCCATCCAATCAGACAGTACCCATGAAAAGGGTGACCAATGTGGAGTAGCTACAGAAGTTTAGTGATCATATAGTTACGCAATCAAATTTAGTGACCAAATTTGTAATGACTGGAGACATCATTTGATGACAAGGACGGTGGACCCCGGACCAGGGTTTAAGAGAACGAGCGGAATTGCAAAGAGAAGCCGCAAACCCTAGCAATCTTCTTTTCCAGAAACTTCATTCTCAGGTGGCGCCATGGCCGTTCTAGCCGAGAACAAGCAGCCGCACGAGTCGCCGGAAGACGAGCTGCAGAAGAAGAAGAAGCGAAAGCGCAGCAGAGGAAAGAAAGCTCCGGCAGATTCTGATGAAGCTCCAGAGGGGAAGCAGAATGAAGCGGAGAGTGAAGATGAGGAAGAGAAGGAAGTTGTGACGGACAAGAAGAAAGGAAAGAAGAAGAAGAAGCAGCAGCAGATGGTAGATGAGAATGAAGATGAGGGTGATGGAGAAAAGGAGGAGGAACAGAGCAATGGGAAAGATGGGGAGGCCGAGGGGAAGACAAAGGAGAAGAAAGTGAAGAGTGGCGGCGGAATTATGAGCACTGACTCTTTTGAATCTTTGGGATTATCTGAGCCTACGAGGAAGGCGATTCAGGAGATGGGATTCCAGTATTTGACTCAGGTACAGTCTCTTCTGATTGGAACTTTTAGTGCACATTTCAGCACCCACCGGAACGATTCATGATGCATATTCATTTTTGGTAGTGTCAAATCCATTTTGTTTAAGCTTCTGTGGTGTTGCATAGTATGGTGTTACATTGGTTGAAGCTCAGCTGTTGTATTCTCGAATAGTTTTAAGTTTGCGGCGAATGGAAGCATTTTTTAAGTTTATTGAACTTACTGGAGTATATGCGTGCTGAGTTTAGTTAGCAAGAAGAATAGCACGGCATTTGGGGAAATGTCCTTAACGTGTTTAGATATTGATTGTATTGAGACAAGTTTCTGACAATTTGGAATCTACTGCGTGAAACAGATTCAATCAAGGGCAGTTCCACCTCTGCTAATTGGCAAGGATGTTTTAGGTGCAGCAAGGACAGGTTCTGGGAAAACCCTTGCCTTTCTGATACCTGCTGTGGAGTTACTATACAATGTTCGTTTTGCTCCTCGTAATGGTACTGGTGTGGTTGTTATTTGCCCTACTAGAGAGCTTGCCATTCAGGTAAATGATCCTGCCCGCAGTGTAGATGTTCACTTAAAATCATCATTTCTTTCTCACTATATCATTTCTATGTGGTTTCCTCTTGAACTGAATGATGAAATAGTACTGTATAATCAATCAGATGAAATTGAACAGATAACTGTAGTTTGCTTCTTTACCGTACCAGTTAGCCTTTTATGTAATTCGAGACTCTGCTAATTTTCTAATGGTATTTGTTTGTAACTTAGTGACCCGAAGGGCCTGATCTAGTGGCAAATGGGGATGCGAATCTTTTAATTCCTTTTCTCCCTAGACATTTTAGTCTTAGGCTTGATCTAATATATCATGGTGCAACATTGTTCAGACGCATAAAGTGGCAGAAGACCTTCTCAAGTATCATTCACAGACCCTTGGGTTGGTTATTGGTGGGGCAGCAAGGAAAGGAGAAGCCGAGCGACTTGTTAAAGGGGTAAACTTGTTGGTTGCAACTCCTGGTCGGCTTCTGGATCATCTTCAAAATACCAAAGGATTCATTTATAAGAACTTGAAGGTAACTTGTGGACCCTCTTTCATTTGTTTATATTCTTGTGGTTCGAATCATTCTCTGGAAGCATTAGTTTGGGCTTCATAGCTATACTTTTGTGTCATATCTATTCAAGCATGTTTTGTGCTATTCTTGTGCTGCATCTCCTTAAGATGGAAAGTTTTTTTTGCTGATTCTTGAGGAAAACTTTGTAGTGCCTGACGATTGACGAGGCAGACAGGATATTGGAGGCCAATTTTGAGGAAGAAATGCAACAAATTCTCAAGCTTTTACCAAAGGTATCCCAAGCTTCTACAATCATTTTATCAAACGTATACAATTAGTTAATTTTAGAAGTAGAGAGTGATTGGTTGTTGATATAATAACTTTTTCTTGTGGTTAGTAATCCATATATTGATTTCTCTCTGAAAGGTTGATAATACTATAATAGAATTTTTGAGGTGAAGTTATACACGTCAATTGATTATATAAAATTCCCGAGAGAACTAGCGCATTGGCATCTGCTGTTTCGTGCATGCTGTTAGCAGTCTTCAATTGATTTGTGATGTGCCGACCGGTCCTATTAAAATCAGATAGTCCAGATTTCTAATTTTAGAATAAACAAAACCATACATATGCATGAGTTTTGTTCATTTTGCACCTTGCAGTGCTGTATTCTAGTTCTCTGACAAATTGTTGTGCCATCTGCAGACTAGGCAGACTGCCTTATTTTCAGCTACCCAAACAAAAAAGGTCTGTTTCTTGCAGCTGCTTCCTTGGAATAATTTTTATTTCCATTATCATTGTACATGATTCTATGCCAGTACTTGTCCCTTTTTTTTTAACATGAATTCTGTAGGCAAGAGCAAGCATTCAGTTTTTGCTAACTTCTGCTGATTTTGCTTAGGTGGAGGACCTAGCTCGGTTGTCGTTTCAGACGACTCCTGTTTATATTGATGTCGATGATGGGAGACACAAGGTATGATGCTTGGTTTGATTCATTGGACAAGCAGAAAATATATGAACATGGCTCTGACCTTATAAAATCGTGGGATATTGTAGGTTACCAATGAAGGTCTTCAGCAAGGCTACACTGTAGTTCCAAGTTCCAAGAGATTTCTTCTTCTTTACTCCTTCTTAAAGAGGAACTTATCAAAGAAAGTGATGGTTTTCTTCTCGTCATGCAATTCTGTCAAGTTTCATTCGGAACTTCTTACATACATTCAAATAGAATGCTTCGATATCCATGGAAAACAAAAGCAACAGAAGCGAACCTCGACCTTCTTTGATTTCTGCAAAGCTGAGAAAGGGATCTTGCTATGCACTGATGTTGCTGCTCGTGGACTGGATATACCCGCTGTGGTATGTGTTTTTTTTCTTTGTTTTTCTTTTTAGATACAACTGATAATTAATTTTCCTTTTGGCTAGCTCACCTAACTGATTTTCCTCCTATTTGCTGTGCAGGATTGGATTGTGCAGTATGATCCTCCTGATGAGCCCAAGGTGCCCTGTTAATCCTCGTTGCATTCTACACTTCAAATTGGTTAATAATGGAGCTGTTCTTCGATCACATGTACTAACATTTACACTGAATTTCTGGTCTTTAGGAATACATACACAGGGTAGGCCGAACAGCACGTGGAGAAGGTGCAAAAGGAAATGCCTTGATGTTCCTGATTCCAGAAGAACTTCAGTTTCTGCGGTATCTGAAGGTATGATGGCCTTAGATTGGAATTTTTACTGCGTATATTACTTGCTCTTGCTCTAGCTACCCTCGTCACTATTCCCTTTCAGGCAGCAAAAGTCCCTGTGAAAGAGTATGAATTCGATGAAAAGAAGCTGGCAAATGTTCAGACTCACCTGGTAAGTCATTTTCATCCAGGCTGGAGTCTACTATCATTCCCTAAATTTGATGAAAAGATGCAAACTCTTGGAAAGAATTCCTACTGACTCGGCTTGTGGGTTGTTGCAGGAGAAATTGGTGGCCAACAACTATTACTTGAACAAGTCGGCGAAAGAAGCTTACAGGTCTTACATCTTGGCATACAACTCTCACTCCATGAAAGATATATTCAATGTCCATCGCCTTGACTTACAGGTATCTTTCAATTTACATAGTTGCATTCTCAGTGGTATGGAAACACCATTAAGAGTGAGCGAGCGAGCGAGTGACATGTTTCACGGTAACAATTATTTCTGGCTTATGTCTTATTATATTTTCTGGGCAGGCGGTTGCAGCTTCATTTTGCTTCTCTGGGCCACCAAAGGTGAACTTGAACATCGACAGCAGTGCCTCCAAGTTTAGAAAGACCAACAACAGCAAGAAGAAAGGTAGCTTCAGCGACAACAATCCTTATGGACGATCAAGCGATAATGGTAACGAAGATAAGCGGAAATTCATGAGATACTAGGTGCTCGGAGAGCCAAGAAGCTTCTTCCTACACACTTAAAAAGTTTTGCAGCAGATTTTGATATTTCAAAGTTCTAGCACATTTCCCATCTTTCCTTCCAGCTGAGATACTCTTTTCCCCTCCACATCAGAAGGTTTATGTAACTTATGACACTATGAGAGCTGCGAAAGCTTGGTAATTGTTAATTGACAGTGTTTGAGCATCCATTAATTCAAATCTCTTCCTCTGTTTCCTTGTGGTAAACCATTGAAATCGATGAATATATGACACGAAGAAGAAAACAGAGTATAACGAAAGTAGCTACTCAAATTACAAAAGCCATTGTTTCTCCTAGTCCCTTGCTCTAAATCGAAACTGAAACAGAATAACAAGCTACACAAACTACAATTTCAACCCAAGCTATCTAAACATTGTTGCTAAAGGAAGAGTGAAAGGGCGAGCAGAGGCAGGGCAGCAGCAGCAGCGACGGTGGCAGAGTATGGTGAAGCAGCGGCAGAGGACTTGTGATTGGGATGATCATCGGAAGGTGGTGGAGTTGGAAGGGGCGTGGAGTCGTCTTCAACGTCGAGGACTTTGATGATCATCTTCAGGCCATGGTCACAGTGTCCGGTGACTCCACTGATGAAGTAGAACAGACCGGGGCGGTCGAGGCGAAAAGAAGTATCGCCGTTGTTGGAGAAGAAGAGAGGGTGTGATGATCTGCACTTGTTGTACTCTTCCTCTTCCTTCACCACCATCACCGAGTCCTTCTTGTACTTGAAGCCTTTCCTCCAAAACACACACAAGAACAGAGTTTAGAGTAAAGCTGAAAGAGAAGAATGAGGAAAGAGCGGTTGGAGAAGGCTAAGTTATTTACGGAGGGTGTCATTGACGCGGAAGCGGTTGGTGGAAGCCCAGTCGTTGAAGAAGTGGTGCTGTTCGTCTTTGGACTTGGGAACCGTCCACCCTTCCTTCCCGCCGACGAACAACTCGGCGGAGCTGGCCGCGACGACGACGCAGCAGAAGAGAGTGAGTAGCACCAGCGCCTTCTTCGACATCTCCATTGTTGGGACTGAGTATTAGCACAGGCGGAAGAAGGCAGTGGTTCTTTGAGAGGAATGATAACTGCAAATGCTCTTTTGGTTTAGAAATTTTGTATGGCGTGTGTATATTTATAGAGAGGAGGGAGTGAGCGGGAGAAGTGGAGTAGAGTTAGTGGGGGAGAGGAGGCGTGGGGTTTAAGGTTTCCTGTTTTTTGACTTGGTATTTTTTTTTTTTTTGTTTTGGTTAACTTCCTCCTGCGATGTTACTATTTATTTCTACGCTGTACCGTTCTTATTTCTTTTACGTCTTTTTCAAATTGATTTAAGCTATTGGATTGATGACTTCAAATGGTTTAAAGTTCAATAGTAGGAATAGAGTCCAATCAGATTGAGCTATTTTATTCATATTATAAAAATATATGCATATATATGGCAATGATTTAAAATTTTGATAATCTGAATGTAATATGACAGGTACCATATAGTAATTCAACAATTAGTATATTATATGACCCTGAATAGGGAGAGCCAAAACGCAACATTCCGTCTAAGAGCCGAAAACTGGTCACTTCTGTTAGACCACCAGTTTTTGCAATTTTGACCGGCTACAGAATTGGAAGCAAAATGGTTTTCTACCAGTTTTTGCAATTTTGACCGGCTACCGTTTTGGAGGCAAAATGGCTTTCTGGAGCTATTTTTAGCACTGGTTCTGATCGGACCTAATCCAGCTGGTTGGCTTGATAACACTGCTTTTTCCCCCTCTTTGAAGACAACTCTAAAATGAGCAACTATTCCTTTAGATTGAACCATATTGAATTTGTGTCGGATGAAATTATATTGGAGACAACGTAGTCATTTCAATTTCAGTTCTTACATTACATTTTAAGATTTGTTTTCCCCGGTATAGGAGTGAACATGAAGAACAGGTTGCATAAAAATCAAAGATTTAATCATGCTCCCTACTATAAAATATGGTAGAGTTTTGCGTACTTTTCTGTATTTCAATTTTTTTTGTAATGAGAGTGAAAGTAGCAAAGACATTTTATTTTAGTCTTCACAACTATTTATTTATTTCAAATAGAAAATATATCAACAACAAAATTTGAACCATGGTCTTTTCAGACAAAGACAAGAACCATAACTAATTACACTAAATAAGTTGGTTGTAACCTTTTGAATATAAAACATGCACGAACTTGAAATTTTAAAAGCATATGACTTCTTCATCACGGTTAGCTATCCCACTATGTCTCTTGTAAGTATTCTTATGGTGCTTGATACTTTTGATTTTGTTTTTTTTATTATTATTTTAATTGAATTTCAATAAGCAATTTATAATGTTTTCTGACTTATAATGAAATATAATCTTATTGCAACCCAAATATCAATGGTTGCAATATTGATATCGAATTGCGGTATTCAATATGCAGAAATGATATAAAATTATTAAATTAATATTAATTTATACATGTTTGATGCAACAAATCTCATTTCCTCTTTCAGAAGTTTTAACGATCAAGGACAATATAATAACACTGATACTGTAAATTTAAAAAAAAAAAAAAACAAACAAACATGACAAACAAAGAAAACATTAGAAATGAATATTTGAAAATGAAACTACAACTTTCCTTAATTGTTGAGTAGTAAGCATTAATCTCAACCAATGCACTCTTAATTTAATGTGATTAGGATTTTTTTATTGCATGATAAATGATTTTTATTTTTTTGAATGCCTTAGAATACAGTAATTGATTATTTAATCTCTTTTTCCTTGAAATTCTTTACTAATCATTATAGATTGACATTCATGTTATAATATGTTATGTCGGATATCTTCTTTAAATTGATTGTTCAATTTCATCTTTCTTAAAACCCTCTTATATTGTTCATGCGCTATTCAAACTGATTACATAATATAGATACATAAGATCTTACTTCTTTTTATCCTATGGAGGAGTTAGTTATGTGTATCATTTAGAGTTACGTGATTTAATATGAACTAACCCCAATAAAGAAAAAAATATCATGAAGTAGGCTTTGAATGTTCATGGATGCATTAATGTGTTCATATGAATTAGTATGGCCAGTACCACAATAGAGGTTTAATTATATTTGTTGAGGGATTAAGATTGTCCTTCAACTAAATTTTGGGGTTAATTGCAAGTTTGGTGACTGAGTTTACACAAAGAGTTCATGTTTGGTCACTACAAATATTTAATTTAATTCCTGGTCACTAAGATTAATTCAATAGTTCAAGTTTGGTCACTCTCCGTTAAATTTAGTTGATGTAGCAGTCAACTTTGATAGTTGACCGTTAAATAAGTGATGTGGCAATTCAAAAATAAAAATTATATAAAATTTAACCTTTTACAATTTCCACCTCATTTTACAACCATTAAAAAATAAACATATAAATTAATCTTCCATAAATGCAAGGGAGAGAGGACGGGCGACGTGGTGGCGGCGGAGCAACGGTGGAAGCTGCTGGGAGCACTGGAGAAATGCGACTATGATTTGTAGGTGCTGAAGGAGATGATAGACAATTCCCTCTCAAAAGACACTCGCCTCCCGTGGAATCAAGCCGACACTTCCCCAACCGCTCGGCCCTGAAATCTTTGACCTGCAAGACAAATCAACATAGTTGCCGTTACAGAACCTAGAGCCCTCCCAGACGCTAGCTCCCCCTCTCTGAATCTTTCTGGCTTGAGAACACTTTCGCTCTATCCCTCAAACCCTGCACTCGCCTTGCTCCCTGACTCGCTCAAAACCACTACAATTAAACCCCAATTAGAGCCCAAGTTTTTAAACTCTAATAAGGTGTAGTATATGGCAAGTATCTATATATTGACCCGGGCCGGTCCGTCTACCCCTACTTCGGTTGTTGAAATCATTATCTAGCGATAAAACTTTGGTTTAAAGGTTTGCCAATTGAAATGAAAGAAAGCAAAAGTAATTTGGTTTGAAAACTCTTTTGTGGGAAAGTCACATGGGTTTCGCTTCCCCCTAAACCGCTACCATGCTAAGTGGGTTGGAACGAGTGCCTTGGGCATGCTAATCGTGAACTAGAGTCTTGATTTCTAAACCGAGGTGAGGATGAAAGGTCGTGTCACTCGACCCTCTCGGTTTAGACAATCGGTAATCGGCTTACTTCCTCACTCAACTCGAAGGTCGGGTGGTTTAACCACGATTAATCGACTTGTTCAATTAAATATTGAGGTTTGCCCTAACTCAACCTAGTTTAGGTGGCTTGGAAAGCGGAAGGAAAACCAACTCGATTAAGTCTCCCTTCAAAAGGGGGATTTTCCTCTCTAAACTAGGCTAAGTTGGCAAATTAGATTACTAGCACCTAAATGCACAAACTTAGGGTTGCTAAGCATAATTATGCACAAACCCTAGGATGCTAAGCACAAAATATGCACAACCCCTAAGTTGCTAAGCACAAGCATGCAAAATCATGGTGAAAAATACCTCAAACATTAAATAGAACAATGCCCAATATCAATCATTCAAACTACATACAAGAAAACTACATGGTAGGGTTTAGGGTTTCACTACACCCAAGTGGGAGGAGGACTACTCCATGGAAGAAGTGGGAAGAACAAAGGAGAAAAAGGTGGAAACCATCGTTTGGGGATGCCTCCTCTCTTCTTCAACCTTGAGCTGGGATTTCCTTGGGGAAATCTTCTCAAAACCTCCTTTAAAGCCAAGCCATAACCTCTTCTTCTCTCTTGGTTCTGTTTCTCTCACTAAAATGCAGAATAAGTGTTTCTCTGACAAAATTCGCCCCCCTTCTCTTTCCTTGTAGCTCAGCTTTTAAACACGAGAAGGGCTGAGTTCACGGCCGTGAACCATCAAACGCGTCCGTAAACTCACGCCTTGCGCCAAAACGCTCCGCATCGATCACGGCAGTTCACGGGCAACTGCTTGTGTTCACGGTCTTAGTGACCGTGAGCTCGCCTTGCATCAGTAACCTTCAAGTTGGCTCAGACGCTTTGCGCTTCATGGTCAACTCCACTTCTTCACGGTCTTGCACGACCGTGAACTCCTGCCTTTAGCTGTGAACTTGCGTTTTTTCACCTCTTCTCCCAGTTTTCGATCCTTTTCGCCAATCCTTCGACTCCGAGGCTGGTTCCACCTGTTAAATCCTGAAAAGCACTCAAACACGAAGAACCTCGCGTAAAACTCTAATGAGCGAATTTGGCACAAACATCTAAGCAAACGGGGGCAAAATATGTGCAATTAGGCCCGATTCACTCCCCCACACTTAGACGTTTGCTTGTCCCCAAGCAAACCATTTCACGCACACGGTAATATTTCAACCTACACAAATGCTTTGGGGACAACTCAAAGGACACGAAGCGGGAATTCTCGATGTTCATTGACAATCAACACATGAATCGTTGCAAGCAATACCGACATCCACCACAACCGACATTCAAAACCACCAAAACGGGCAAACGAAAAGTTCTCAACTTATTCATGGATAACTGCAAGTCTCAACAAAACTACTTATCGACCACAACCAACCATGCATGGAATTCAAGCCCGAGGAACAAATGGAAAGGCAACAAAAGTCCTCACCGGGGTATGATATGACATACAAAGCAAGAATGAATCGCTCACCCTCATGACCAGTGGGTTCGGGACCTTTTTGGTGCAAAAGATGTGCACAATCGTAACCTCTCGGCCCTATCGTCTCAATACTACGACGGTAACCTCTAAACGCTAGAGTTCATGGGATGGTTGTCACCACTAGCTCGTCTGGAGGTCTTAGACACGAGTTCAAATGACTGGCGATTGGCTTAGACATGGGGAAAAGGCTTTTTGGGTGGTGGCAATCATGACGTGAGGTTCTACATCTTCAACCTAAACCCGAAAAGTCTATGGTTTCGACTAAAACCCTTCTCTTCAATCAACAACCACTAGCATCGGCCAAAACCCTTATCTTGCTCTTCCAACTATCTCCAATCATGAACTACCTTGAAGCACTCTTCCTCGGTCAACTCTTGCTAGTTCTTTAAGGTTTGGTAGTGACGGAGTTCTAAACAATGTGGGGGTTTCGTTGGCTTGGGTGTTAAGAAACCCC